CATGATATCTCTCAGTAATTGCTATCTTGAGAATTTGCTGGCAATGTTGCAGATAAGGACATCCAAAATACCTCGGCCCATGCTGTCCAAAAACAGTTGCTGCATCGTCGATTGCTATTTAGTTTTTGGTAATTTGTATCTTGTCTTGCTAATGGACACTCATTATAGGAATGAGAGTCAGCACAATATCTGCAAATCTCTGTTTTGCTGCGGCACACTGACTTGTGTATGAAATCCCTTTTGACATCTGGAACATTGGAGTACCCTTGGGATATATTATCTCTGGTTTCTGTAGTTTATTATCAAGCTTGACTGTTTCATTGGAATACTCTCCTCACCTTCTTTCGTCACCACTGCTACTGTTTGATTTCATGTCTTTGGATATAATTCTCTTGCTCTGATTTATACTCATTCGTCGGGTTTTCTTTCCTCAATTGCTCTGTGATCTCCTGGTTTGAATATTTGGTATTCACTCTCTTGACCACCCACTTTCGGATCTCCTGAAACATCTTGGCTGCAACCAGTAAATTTTACGGTAGCTGTAATTCTATTGTAGGATGTGTACCAATGTCCTCAGTCATTCTCTTCGTCTGTTTTGTTTCATTCATCGTGACGATCAGACCTTCTTGTGTCTTTCTGAGTCTGCATATGCTTCCTATCCCCAGTAAAGTCTCCAGATATCTGGTTATTTTGGTTCTCGATAAGTCCAGGAGTCTGGTTCCTCCTTCGTTTATTTGCTAAATCTTTACTCGTGTCTTGATAACCGGACCGTTGGACTTTCTTGCGTTGCTTGGAGTCTCCTCCTCAGCCGGCATATAAGCTTGTTCGATCGTACAATCATCTTATTCCTCCGTTGTAATAGTGTTCTTTGATGTAGTTGGTTCTACTGCCAGCATGTCTCTTGGTGTGTCATTCTTGGCTGTATTGGGTGCGTTAGTTGACTGCAAGTTATACTGGCCACTGTCGTCCCTTTCTATGATGATAGCTTCAGGAAAGTCGTCATCATCCTCCACAGCAACTACATTCTTCTTGATCTGTTCATCCTCTTTACTTCTCCTTGGGTCACTATCTTCCCTCTCTATGATGATAGCTTCTGCAAAGTCAAGATCATTCCTCATGGTATCCACGTTCTTCTTGGTCTGTTCCTTCTCTTTACTTCTTCTTGAAGCGTAACAATCATGGCGCCTAGCTGCCTTCTTATGTCTTGGCATTGTTAGTAGTAGCTGTTTCTATAAATAATGTGTAATACTCACAACACTGCTGAGAACTCACACACGTTGCCGTCACCACCAAGCTCCCTGCCTTTCCGGAAAACGTCTGTGCCATGTCGTCTGATTGGTTAGAGGTAAACGCCGCCAAGCCGTCTGATTGGACAGATGTAGACGCCTCCAAGTCGTCTGATTGGTAGAATATCATATACCCAAAATACTCCAACTGACTGTGTGTGCTGAGCACTGGCTGTTGGCTCTGACAGCTTTTATTCTTTTGCACTTCTTGAACTTACTTTCCCCTTGCATTGTTGTATAGTGTTTATTTTTTGCTCGTCTGGCTTTGACTTTTTAACTTGGTTTTATTCTATATGGCTCGGTCTCTCTCCGTAGAATGGCTAGTCGCCTGCCGAGAGCGATGAACAAAACAAAGTGATTATGATAATTCAGCAGGGCTGTTATATAATTGTTAGGTCTCATCATAACGAAATATTTCGCTCCCTTCTCCATCCCAATCTTTCTGAGTTTTCTGTATTTTATTGCTTTTGCTTGCCGAATATTCCACATGTTCTATCATACATCTGTCTCCCAAAAAAATGTTTGTTATTATTATTAATATTATTATTATTATTGGAATGTCATGTGTTCACTCCCAGACTTTTGTCAAAAATGACCTTGGCTCCCAGGTCGACCCAGCCTGAGTGGGTACGAGGTACAGTCCTGGGAAGTAGCGGCTGGCGTGATGCTGACCACATCACCCATCTTGTGCCGATTTAACTTCTGCCATTGCCTGTTATTACATACTCAAAAGAGGAAACATTTCTTCATGTTTAAAGGTTATCTTTGTTTACTGTGATTTTCATGGCTGATCTTTGTTTTACATTGCTTATTAGTTTAGCCTTTGTTTGTTTGCCTGTGTGTTTAATATTAATGTTCAGTTTAATATTAATATAAACTTATCAAGGTATTCAGTCTATGTTTAATACCAAAGCAATTGTGTGAGTTCTCAAACAGGTGAACTAGAACCACAGTCGTAATATCTAATGTAAGAGACTTTGTTGAACAAGAATCAGCTTGACTATACCTTTTTATCCCTGTGGGTTCAATGGCTCCTTTTTAGAGAAATATGAACAGATACATTCCCCCCCCCCCCCCCCCCCAACTCCCCCCACCCACATAAATTTAACTTCTTTGGATACTGAAAGGGGAATCTGGGATTTACCCTATTGGGTTGCCATCTAGTTTGAGATTTTCTAAATCTTAGGGTTGTCAAACTTTCAGGTAGCAGGACTGCCAGGGGGAAAACAGATGGAAAGATCAAGTGCAACTGATGCTGTGGTTTTCCTTCCAACCTGATATCAAAATACTACTGGCAATGAGAGGGCATTGCAATGTTGACTTCTTCCCCTCTCTAGACCAGAAACTAGTCAAGTGTGAAACATTGGTGCTGGAAACTGAACAGTACTGGCAAAATCCAGGAGCATGCACACAAATATTCAGATTTTTTATAGTTAAAATTGAAAAGAAAAACTTTAAGCAAACAAAGAAATGTAAGCTTTCTGAAGCATTTGTTTATTAACTGAGTTACTGTTTAAAAAAAAATCAATTCTGGAAGTTACAGTATACAAAGTGCTCATATTTGACACTGCTGTTGATTTTGTAAAATATATTAAAAACACAAGAATTACGTGTGCTCAAGTAACATGTAAGTTAAATATCTGCTTTTTTTAAAATTTTATTTTAGTTAACCATAAGCTAAATGCACTGACTGTTTAGGCTTCTGTCATGCTGGTCACAACTGGTTTGCAAAAACCACAGATGACTGAATTCCATACAACAGCTCATTAACATTAGCTTTAGTTTTTCAACAATTATTTGAACTAGTCACACACTTGAAAAAAATCTGGTCACATTTAGTCGGTTTCAGACACATAGCAGATATCTGGGATTTGTATTAGGGTGTATTGTGTGAACTTCAAGCTGCCCTTTTATTTTATCTTTACGAATTGCATTGAATGTTTTCAATCTCAAAAGTGTATCATTCAAAGAAGCAGCCCTCAGCACACTTCCCTGTATCCAAATTGAGCGAAGAGCTCCAGATGCTGTCAGCCTTGTTTCTGGGTTTAACATCAGCAGCTTCTTGATAATATCCTAAAATTTAAAACAAAACAAAAAATGATAGTCAGTACAGCTACCAAGTCCCAAGTAACACATCACGTGCTAATCGGTTACTACCCAGGTGTTCAATGGACGTGTGACACGTACTGTTTTTTTTTTATTTACCACTTGCCTGTATAACAATGCAAACTGGCAGTTCTGAATGGTATTTATTGTTCTTTTTTGTTCAATGTCACACATGGTAACTATTAGATTTATTTGAAAAAATTGTAAAAAGCAAAAATATAGCATGTTTGTGAGCTTTACAGAATTACTAAGTGGCTGTGTGATCACAATATGGCCTCTGAACACACTTCTTCATGCATGCCAACAAGATTTATGATTTTAGAAGCACTTTTATTTAAATAAAACATGTTTATCAGATTTATCTAAAGCTAGACAAAGAAAGTTAGGAAGCAGACTTGTTTTAGTTACTGACAGAGTCAAACTTTAATGAGGGATAGCTCTGATATATACCTGACACAAAGCGTACAATGATAACAAAGTCAGCTGGTACAAAGAGAATAAATATTGGGTAAAAATGCAATTTTCTTCATTGTCAGTTAGGTCAAGTATGATTCCCATATTATTCGGGAATGTAGAGAGTGGTATAATGGTAAGGCATAATTAGAAGTACAACAACTGACAGATGAAAATGCTGGGCTAGATGATGTACACCAATAGTCCTTTTCATTGAGGTGTAAGATCTGGCTGGGGATTTTCAGCTAGAATGAAGAGAAAGATTATGGCAGAAAAAAATTGAGCTTTTCTTTTTATCTACAACTTCAAGTATGAGGATAGAGGTGGAGGTAATCACTGCAGCTCTGCGGTGGATAGCAGAAAATATAGTTAACAGAGGAATTATTGTATCAGAATCTTAGTCAGTACTGTGGAAGGTTAAAAGTTCATCACACTTTCAAATCTGATGTTGGTTTCTACCAAATACTCAGCTTCTGCCATTTCAGAATGACAAGTGACTGACATGCAAACCTTTAAAGGCAGCCAACATGGTGATATAACCTGAGCATACAAAACCCAACATAGAAGAAGAAGAGGAAGAAGAAGAATTTCAGTCAATGAGAAGATTAACTTAGCATAGTTGTTTATTCAATGTCTTTTGTCTCAGAAGCCAAAATATATTGGCTATATCAAGCACCACACTGGATTGGGGAAAAAATAATAGCAGAAGACATAGTACCGGGAAGGAGGAGCATGGGCCATCCAGCAAGAAGATGATCACAGGTTATAAGTGACTCCATGGAAAAAGGGTGCATGAGGCAGGATAGCTGGAAAGAGACCCAGTTTGATGTAGGCAGACCATGATGAGAGCAATGTTCTACAAAGGACCTGCTACAAGACAATGAACTGGTTGGTACTCAATGGGTGATGGGGTCAACATCCCTCTCTGAAATTAGTATCATGGATTTAAATAGAAAACACTTCAATAAAATAAGGATCAGGTCACCTTGTCCCAAAAAACAATTTTTTTTTAGATAAATAATTTTAATAGTTTGCAAGGGTAACATTCTTACTTGTGCATTCAAGCTGACCTTTTCCCAATGATCCGGATAGAAATCATACTGACCCTTCAAGATTTTCTTAAAAAGTTGTGCTGGGCTGTCATTACTAAACGGTTCATAACCACATAATCTGCAAATCACAAAAAGTAATCCTTAATACAAAAGCAGTCAACAAAATCACATGACCTGCAAATCATGAACAGTAAATACAAAATACTCCCTCGAAGTCGGAGTACAGCTGCCCATGAGGCAGGGAACAGCAAAACGGTTGTACACGCAAAACTCAGGTCCAGGTAAAAGCCAAAAGTCCAAGCGGACGATTAACCGGGACCTTCCGCCCGAATTCACAGCCAGTGAACGAAGAAGAACAAGAAAATACAAAATACAAAATAGTTGAAACTTGATGGCAAAACTAACCTATATCAGATGGAAAAGATGCTCACAAATGAAAAGATAAGACACTGCAGTGAGGAAAAAAAAAGAGTATTTAAGTGTGATACATAATCTGCTCGGATTACTTGCCATGTTTACAGTGGACATCAACTGCAGTGGATCTCCAGTAATCTTCCTTCCTGCCATGATGGTATAGCTAAATATCCTCATTCTAGCTCATGTTACTCTTGCACATTTGCCTTCTACCTTTCATTTTAGTACGATTTTTCATCGCAGCCTCAAACAAAGTAAGTTTATTTTTCTGTTTCTTACTGCTTATACTATCACTTTCCTGTCGATATATCCTTTCCTATCTAACTACTTAGAATGAGATGGCTTGTTCTGTGTTCTATAACTAATATGAATTGCTTTCTTCTTCTTCTTCTTCTACGCGTTTACCGGCTGTAAACTCTGGCAGAAAGTTATAGCTGTTCATCCACTTCTGGACTTCAGTCCTGTTCCAGAACCTGAATGTTGTGTGTGCATCCGTTTGACAGATCTAACTAATTTTTATGCAGACTGTTAGTTCTTTGCCTCTCAGGCAGATGCACTCAGACTTCAAAGGAAGCTCCTAATTAGTCGACTCTTACGACATGCTTTGTATAGGCAGTAGGTCTATTCTTGTTTTCCTCTATAACAGGGCCCCGGAACCAACACAGGGATGAACTGCTTTTAATAAAATGAAAGAACTTACAATATATAAAGAATGACTCCAACTGACCACATATCTGCAGGTTTTCCCATAGTGAACTCCCTTGAGAACTTCTGGAGCTGTGGATGCATTTTGTTTAATATTCTACAACATGGTAGCAACAAAGTTGAAAAATCAAACCACTGAAACAGAAAATGTCCACATATTTCATGAAATAAAACACATATCATGTCAAATATCTGTTCTCAAATGAGAAAACTGCTACAATAATCAATATAATTCTATCCCGGTCATTGGTCCGTATTCTTATTCTTTTTCCTTAGCACTCCAAGGTCTTGAGGTTCATTGCTGCAAAAACCACAGATAGCCATTCAATTCTCTAACTGCCCTTCAATTTTCAGTTGGTGACTCTAAGTGTAGTTCTGCCGGTATTTTGTCTCTCCATCATCTTCTTGATCTGCTTCATGGTCTATTTCTATTTCAACTCTTTTTTTTTTCTTTCTATTTTTGAAAAAGTAAACTATAGTGTTCAGACTGATCACAGTGAAAAGAAAATGAACTATGACACAGTAATAAATATATTTTTCTCATGCTCACATCTTTCACATAAAAATGCTCTTAAAATCCCAACAAACTGCATTCACGGCTTATAAAACTCCAGATGAGAATGACTCCTGAGATGCTTACACAAAAGGAACCTAAAAAAATTCCTAATCCGATGGATATTCAATTAGTTATAATAACCTCCATTCTTATATTTCACACTCACCTGTAAATCCAGGTGAAGCACACACAGAAGACATATCAACTTCAAGGCCAACAAGGGATGACATAGCAAAATCAGCTGTTTTAGAGAAAGCAAATAGAATACATTTCTAGACTCTTGCCATGGACTTACAAAAGCAAATCAATATATGAACATCCTTACAAAATTTGTAATGTTTATTATTATCTATTTATGGCATCTCTGGAGCAAGTAAGCAAATTTGTGGACATGACACCTAAATTTATTTGAAAACCTGTAACAGTGAGTGATATTGCAGTGTTTGCTTCGACTTCTATAATAATTTAAAATGGGTTTCTTTATAAACATTCTAAAGCAGTAAATGCATATAATAGTCTGTCCACTTGCTGGAGTTAGCCTTATAAAGTCATTTTAATAATTAACAGCAGCAGATGTTTTGGTTTTTCTTCTTCTGCTTCTTCTACTGTACACTTCGGCAAAAGTTCTGGTTTTTTTCATCCACTTCTGGGCTCTCTCATACTTTATTTTTGCATGCACATCTGTTTTACAGATCTGGCTTATTTTCATGCCTCACAGGCAGATGCACACTTATTTTCACTGGAAAGCCCTTAATTAGTTGCCTTTTATGACATGCCTCTTAAAGAAACAGGTTTTTTTTTTTTCTTTTTTTCCTCTAAAACAAGGCCCGAAACCCACAAGGAAAAAATATGTTTATTAACATGTGATGATATTCTGTAACGGTGTACTGTGTACATATGATCATTAAATAAAAGAAATTTTTTTTAAGTCATATGATTATTAAATGCAGTTCAGATGTGGCAGCCTTTGTAGGTGGTTTTTTGTGTGTTTTTTTTCTGGAAAAAATGTAATAGAGATTTAACATTTATGGAAACAATCGTCTTATTTTGACAATATAAGTAAGAATCATGCAAGACCTGAAGTAATTACATACAGCAATATTATTACTCCTTAAAGTCTGTATGATGAGTCATGAAGTCTGTGGAAGTCTATAAAACTGAGCACAAAATGTCAACAGCAACAAAAATATTCTAAAAACATGACAAGAGCATAAATATCTAGCAAAATATGTCACAAATTAAAACATGAATTTGTGGAGTGGTGATTTTGGTAACAGGCATAAGGAAAAGTTAAGTCTGATGGGATGTGTATAAGGACCTCACCTAGGGCGCCAGCCTTCTCTGTGCTGGTTTTATGGAACCTCATGCAAGACTCCTGCTGCACGTCTCCATTGTGCACCAAGGATAATGTCTCAAACAGAGCTGGCAGGAGATCTCAGAGCTTGTAGCCCACAGAGATGTGTGTCCAGCCTGGTTCACATCAGCCCACCCCCAAAAGCATGGGTGAAAACGTCTACCAAAACTCAATTCTAACATGAGAAAAGTCTACTTGCTGAATGTGCCACTAAAATGATCACACTCAGTTAAAAGTCTGTCAAATGAAAGAAAATCGGAGCTGCTGAGACTCAGCCCTTGACCAAAAGATTTACCCCCAGCTTAGACGAGTAACATCTTCTGTGAGCAGTTTCTCGCTGTAAAATTCTGCCTACTTGCATCCTGTCAACTCTCAACGTAGTCGTCACCGCGCTGAGGTACACCACGACAGCCATTATCAGCCTGCTGGGTAGGCTCAAATGTCTGACAAAGATTTGTCATATGGCACACAAGCAAAGTCTCATTGACCGACTGTCATGAATCCTATTAATTGGCAGACAGGTTCAAATGTCCGTACCCATCGGCCCACTTGCCCGAGTGTTAGGAAGAAACAGGTGAAGCCATGTCTGATGCACATCTATCCATTTTGCAGTGCTAAGCATACAATTGAACCAACGTTAAAGGTGTCTAACGTGATGAAGAAGAATGCACTTAGTTGTGTGGTCATCATCTGGTCCCTGCTGATCTCCGGAGGGCACAGCCCGTGACGAGCGGAAAACACAATATACGGCTGGAGGAAGAGCAGGATGTGACAATTACTTGGGTGAGCCCAGAACCAGAGCATCATGTGTAGGCTCTGCATTTATGGAAGCCTCCTTGGATGGTGGGAAATACCCATGATCTGCCCCTGCCTTTCCTTGAGGGCTATCCAGTCTTTATGAGGTTGCCCTAAAGGGGTTCTCCAGAGGCAACATCAGTACATAAAGAGACAAAGAGGATACCACACAAAAGAGGCAACACGATGTCCCACGAAACAATGTCCACAGTCTTCCTTCGAAGTCAGAGCACATCTGTCTGTGAGGCAGGGAACAATAACTGCACACAAATAAGCCAGTAAAACAGATGTATAGCAAAACTCAGGTACTTGTACAAAGCCAAAAGTCCAAATGGGCGAACAACCAGGACTTTCCACCAGAATTGACAGCTGGTAAACAAGAAGTAGAAAAATGTGAATTTAGTCACAGCAAATTATTGTTAAAAATTACCTTATGTGGAAGAAGTCTGGACAATGAACATTTATGTGTGTGTGTATGCGTGTGTGTGTGTGTGTGTGTGTGTGTATGTGTGTGTGTGTGTGTGTGTGTGTACACACCTATACATATACATGTATATATATATATATATATATATATATATATATATATATATATATATATATAAAATGTACACTCTAATCGGGGAGTGCAATATAGCCTACACTGATTCAGACATTACTCACCAATCAATAACCGGGAGTCATCTAAGATGGTGGCATACAGTAAATTCTCTGGCTGTACATATAAAGATATAGTTGTTATTTAATTAAACAAAACATCATTAAATGATGTTGATCCCAAATAATCTGACATTGAATGGCTAAAGAAAAAAACTGACGCAAGAAATATAGCATATTTGCATGACCTTCTTTGCATGTTTCTTCTGTTTATAATTATTTACAATAACTAGTACGCATGAAGCTAAACTCATTACACATGACATGTTGACTGGTACAAGTGTAAACATTTTTTAAAACTTCCACCCCGGCTGTGGTTTGGGACCTCAAGTATAACCTACGAGTTGAACAGGGTTTCTGGAACTTGCACCCAGGTTACTCTCATCCGAATGGGGCACTTTGTGTCCCCAGATGTTTATCGCTCATTGTGGGGTCCTGGTGGGGTTGAACATCAGTCAGTCACTCAATTTGTTTCATATAAAGAACAGCCAATCACACATGGCGGGTTGGGCTAGAAGAATCCTGGATATTCTGCAGGCTCGTTTTGAAGTGTCTAACAGCAAAAGTTCAACCCTTAGAAAGTTAATCTAAAGATTTTAAAATAAAATGTTGAATTCTTTTCCTTGCTGTCTGTCTTTACTATTCTTAACTGACTCTAACAACCGTATCAGCAATTTTAAAAAATAAAATCTCCATAACGACATAAAACTATTTTCATTTATACCCATAAATATGAACAAATCAATGTGCACTTTCTCCTTCCCAGAATTAATCTAAGGAAACATATATGTAAAGATGGTTACCTAAAATTGATAATGACAAACTAGAACTAAAATTATTATTATTCATGTTCTAATTTTTATTTAGATGCAGGGTTTAAGTAATAACAACATAGATTAATTTACCAAATAATAATAATAATAACTTTTTATTGTATTCTCAACTCTCTGACTCATGTTATTAAGTAATGATCTCAATGTGTTCTTTTTTTTCCGACCCTCCCTTTCCATTTCTCCCTGCATTTTTTCTTCGATTTTTTCTTTCCTTTATGTGTTCCTTCTTTCTTTATTTTCTTTCATTCTTTCTTTTCCCTTTCTTTCTGTTGTCTTTGTTTCTTTGTTTCTTTCTTTATTTTCTTTCTCTTCTGTTCTTTCTTTATTTCTTTAGTTTTTGCTTTCCTTTTGACTTTCTTTAAATAATTCAGTAATTAATGATTCTGTTTCACCTTATAGTTATGTGGTGCTGTATTGGTCATCATGCTGTCCAACATTAACTCTCTTTTTCTCCCCCTACCTCTCTTCCCCTTTAGCTATAGTTTTCACAAAGAACTCAAACTAACCCTTTCTCATAACATGCCCAAAAAATATGTGCTTCTTTCTTCTTCTTCTTCTTCGCATTCACTGGCTGGCTCCCACTCCCCCTAACAAGCATGTTGTAAATGAAGTCACAGTGCATCAACCCAAGGAACCAACAGACTAACAGCCTACTTATAAATAAGTCAGATCTTTTCAACAAAAAAACTCACAACACAAAACTCAGTTTCTGGAACAAGACCAAAGTCCAGAAGTGGATGAACAACCAGAACATTCTGCTGGAGTTTACATCCAGGAAATTCTAAGAAGAAGCAGAAGTAGAAATAAGATGATTATTTATTAAGTCATGATTATTTATTTATAGAACAGTTTGAAATTACCTTTAAATTTCTTATTACATATCCGCAGCCATGGAGGTACTGAAATAAAATTTAAAAAAACATTGTATGAAATACTGATCAGCAAATGCAACTTTAATGTTTCTCTTTTCATACTGAGAAACTTGTTGTTTTCTAGTGTTCACATAGTAGACATGACAGAGTTTCTCTCAAATCAACTCCAACACCTCCACATAACAGTCGACACCAGGTGATGACAGTTTAACGTTTTATGAGCATAACACTTGAGCTACAAAAGCCTGTCCTCTGATCTAACAAACAGCCTAGTGACAATACAGCATGATACTTACTTCACACATCAAGGTTCTGCTTATAGGCACTTGGGGTAACACGGCCAAATCCTCACTGTCCGTCGCTGACATGTACACAACCACAGTCAGCAACAAGTAGGAACAGTCTTCTTTCAGATGATTGGCTTTTATACCCTACAGCTCTTGGTCCTGTCCCAGAATGAATCCCTATTCGGCTATTCCCCTGGTTCTCCCGTGCTCCCACAAAGTTCACACATATTCATGAGATTTCAGTCTCTCAAACTGACTTCATGTCTTGCAGCATAATGTAGAGTAATAAATGTTAATTCCCCTGAAGTCAGGCAGTTATTGGTGTAAAATCATCCCTCATGTTAACACTGGACTGTAATTACATCACAGAAGGCTTCTCAGAGTCACTCATAATAGATGTCTATAACCATGGGCAAACCTCTTCCCTCACCCCCAACTACAGAGCTTACGTCACTGCTCTTCATGAGGTAGAGAGACTGGTCGGTACCACTGCCCAGATATCCTATTAAACAGTCTACCTTACTGACTATAGATTAGTGTTGCCATATTTCCACAATTTTGTTGATAGGTCCTCATTTGCAAGCATATCTGAGCGCCCGCAAAATGGTGAACATCTGGCCATTCATCATCCAAGGTTTACTTTTATCATAAAATACCTTGAAAGACATGCAAACACACCTGTTGTCCTGTCTTTCTATGAAAATGTATGATGATGCAGTAGATTTATCACATTGTTAAATTTTTGGAAACAAGCTGACCCAAAATACCAGCTTTGGTGGCAGACAGCCTCATTGTTTCTTCTAATTTGCTTTCATTGACTGTAAACTCCAGCACAGAGTTCTGATTACTCAGCCACTTCTGAACTCCTGTCCTTTTCAGGATCTGACTTTTATGTGCACATCAGTTTTACATATCTGACTTATTTGTGTGCAGACTGCTGACTTTGGGAATACTATATGGTGAGCTCCCAATCTTTTCCGGTGTGAACTCCTACCACTATCCAAATTCCATGAGAACAGTTTTGAAATTAAAAAAGAAACTAACCAACATATGCTGAGGACAATGAAATTGTGAAACACGTTCACTAACCTCTTAGCAACAGGGCCGCACAAGTCACAACATTAAACATAGAGCTTCATGCATCGTCTCCTTCTTCTTTGCATTCACTAGCTGTAAACTCTGGTGGAAGGTTCTGGTTGTTCATCCACTTCTGAATGTTAGTCTTGTTCCGAAACTTGAGTTTTGTGTGCACATCTACTTCACTAATCTGGCTTATTTGTATGCATATTGTTAGTACCTCATCTCTCAGGTAGATGCACCAACTCTGCAGGAAGCACCCCCAATTAGTAGACTTCTATGACATGCTTCCTACTTCTCTCTATGAGTGTGAATAAATACTTTACCTGTTTGTTAAATATATAATATTTCTACAGCCTCAAGGGTCCCCCTCTGTTTATTTATGTGAATGACGTGTAACACAATGGAACATACCAGTCAAATCTCTTTCTAAAATGTTTGTGTATTCTAGACAAAGAATTACACTTTGCTGTTTTTGTAATTGCTGCTGTGTTTGTTATTCAACCTTTGCTTCGTTAGTATCAATTTCTGTAACCTATGGTGACATTTTAATGGTGTGATATTAACTCTGGCCGTAATCCATAGTTGTGGATTTCAAGCTGTATGAAAGACATGGCCAATAAAGACACCTTTTTTTTTAGGTGCCTAGTTGGTCATGTTCTTAGTACATCTGTTTCCAAAGCAAGGCGCACATGCCATTTAGAGGTGACAGCTTTGATTCCTGTCAAGGTATTTACAGCTTGTTGATTTTTATGTTGTCCAGTGTATCCTTCTATCTTCCTACTTCTTTCTATGAGTGCTGATCAATACATTGTCTGTTTATTTTATGTATATATAATATCCCTACAACCTAAACTGTTCCCCCTCTGTTTATTTATTGTTAGGGAGCATTGAGTCTACTCTCTGGCTGCCCCCATAAAGGGGCTCTAGAACCCATATGGGAAACTTCCTGTGTGACACTAGACAAGTTAGTTAGCATTGTAAACTTCCTGTTCTATCAATATACAAAACAAAAACTTAGAAATAATTTGATACTAGCATTAAAAGCAGGATTTTATGTTCTGACAGTAAATATATATATATATATATATAGTTTTTTTTTTTTTTTTTTAATATATATAATACATATATAGCTTCAAATGGCATGAAAACACATGTTCTTGTACTGCTCAGAAATGAAAAGTTCATGAGCATCCACTACAACATTTATCACACAACTTACATTTATTCCGGAAACAATGTCTTTTATTGCTTTTGCTGCTGTGACCTCTGTATACGTGTTCAGTGTTGTGATTCTGTTGTTATGACAAGAAAGCAATTGCAAAGTTTGAATCTGCATCAAGGCAGTTTTTAAAATTGATCATGGCTCCAAGGTAAACCCAGCGTAAAGGCAGCCATTGTGATTTTTACCTCATCACCACTGAGTGGTCTACAAAAATGTTTCCTGATGTGCCATTGGCCTAAAAGGGGTCCTTAACTTTTACTTTACATACTCTTATGGTTTCATCTCATGAAAACAGTATACTTCTTCTAGACAGGTTACTTATAAAGTAACATACTCTATCAACCTATGGATAGATTTTCTTTTCTAACACTTTCACCAGAATAGCATTTTTATGATCTTCCTCCTCCTCTTCTTAGTTTGCATTTCAAGATCAGCTGGCATGATTGTGTTGTGGTTTACAGCCAGGCTGTGATATCTTTGTCTTTCACCCTAACACATCTGATTTCAGCACATCCTAAGTTAGTCACCTGTTGTAGTTTGTTCAGAGGCAGTGAGCCTTTTCCTTCTTCCCCCAAAATGAGGCCTTGGAAACCAGGATTTTCAATGAGCACAGCCTACATATAGGACATCCAACTTTTTTTTTTTTTCAATTCTTGTTTAAGATGGTTAGGTATCCGATGTCACTATCCAAAAGATTAGTTGGACAAGTTTCATCATTATAAAGCAATGGTTATTGTAAAACGTTTATAGAAACTTCCTAAATGCTTGGATTTGAACTAGTTAACATCTGACCTAAAGATGGATACTTTAACTCTTTGAGTCCTAGAGGGTTTAGCATCACAGGCCCAAGGGGTAATCAAGAGAGAGACATAAAATCGGCACATCATGCATTTATTGGGCTTCTAGACAGTAACCTATGAACGTATGATGCGTTCCTTGGGACTTAAAGAGTTAACCTTTCAGTCAAGCAGCCTCTCTTACACAAATGTATAATGAAAATAACAATTCAGTAATTCACAAGTGCAAACATACTTAGTACTAAACTAAAGATGCATAAAACAGAAGCAACCACTGAATACATACATTTTGTAAGTTTCAAACGCTGTTTACTGTATTATGATACCTCACTACATTTTTTTTTTTTTAAATAATAGTAATACAGAATTATAAATCATTTACATCCACTCTTAACAGCAGGGAAGACTGGGGCTATTCCCACATGTTCTTAATGGGGTAACAGTCGACACCAGATTTAATAGTTTTAACATTTTTAATGAGCACAACACATGAGTTATGAGAGCCTGTCCTCCAGTCTAACAAACAGCCTAGTGACAATCTACAGCATTACATTGACTTCACACATCCAGATTCTGCTTATACGCGGAACATTCTTTCCCCATTTCTTCAACAGTAATGAACTGTACACACTCCCTTTTTTGCCACTTGTACTGTAATGAAATGCAAAGCACCTGGGTATGTGTACCTAATCTGTTCCAGATCCTTGGATGGAAACCAAACAGTATACCAAAAGAATTTTCCCATTAGAAATAAAAGGAGAATGATTACTCAGTACCCATGAAGAATATTTTACTGTTATTTGCATATGATACATGGGGTTGTATACAATAATTTATATACTGCCTGTTACTAAAGTGCATAAAACAAAAGCAGTTAGATGAAATAAATGAAAATCTAACATCACGTTACCTTCCTGAGAAGAGTCGAGCGCCTACTAGGATGGTACTTAGAAGAAATGAGAAGGAGATGTTAATGTTTGGAAGGACTGTCTCATTCCAATAAAACTTCAGGAATCTAAAATTCTTGGGTTTTTTTTTCTTTCTTTTTCTTTTCTTTTTTCGTCTATTTTCGCTACTCTGACCAGGTTGAGACTCATCAAGTTTAACTTTTACTAAAAATCTACCCAAAGTTCTGTCTTCTCCTCAGGATGTTTCAGAAATGTGACACTGTCTGGTCATTTCAGACTATGCTGTTACAGCTTATTTGGGCTTTGCTGGGGTGATACTTCTCTGCAAAGTCCGTGGCTTTGTCTCGAGAGAGATAAACAAAGACAGAGCACGGTGTTGTGACTAATTTTGACTCATCTAAGTACGTATTCCAAACAAAGTTTGTACAGCAAACAAATGTTTTTGCATCAAACAAAGAGGTATACCTAGTTGAACGTATTACCAAAGCAAATGTATTCTGAAGTATCACTGTATTTAAACACCATGAAAAAGGAAGGCGATCTTTTATTATAAACCGTAAATTAAAACTTAGTGAGAACAATTCAGCATCAAATCATCATGTCCTTTTTTTTTTTCAAGTTACAGTTGTGCAAAAATGAATTTTAAATAATAAACAAATAATTTCAATAGTTTCACTAATTTTTTTTTTTAAATACTTGATAACTTATGTATGTTGGTAATATAACTCAAATATGATTGAATAACCTTCCATTTTCTTTTTACTCCTTCATCTCCAAACTTTTATTGCCTCCCACCTCTTAATTTAGCTGTTACTTGTTAATGTTTCTATCAGATTTATTACATGAAAGTTCTTTCTAGCAATATCATTTTACATTATCATGATTTATAAGACAAAAGTTTTACCAACTTGGCAAAACATCACACTGTAGTTACTTATTCCCTCCTTTAAAAAACACTGTATTTAGTAAATCCACAAACAAGATGCATTGTAATGTGTGTATATGAGTGTATGCATGCATACAAACACACACATATTTATATGTATTTATTAACAGTGTCAATGTAAGCATTTTAACACATTTATTTATATCAACAAACATATGTATAAACTATAGATATAATTCAGCAGGGTCTGCTTCTGTTTTAAATGTTAATACTTACTCCTGAAGTTGTTTATACCTGTCAAACAATTCTCCTCCATACTCCAGCTCCTGGACTATAAAAATTCGTGTTTTGCTTTCAAAGACCTCCTGCAGTCTTACCTGATTGATAAATACTACAGTGATTAATAAATATATATATATATATATATATATATATATATATATATATATATATATATATATATATATATATATATATATCTGTGCAAGAAAAGTATAATTTAAATGTATACAAAACTTTAAAAATCTGCTTTCTTCACTGCTTTTCTTGTAATTAATGTCCTTATTCATTTAAAACTGCTGTCATCATCATCACAGTCCCAAAACACCATACATCATCATGCCATTAGTTGCTGTTAATTGATCAGTTCCCTCCGCCTGGGTCAGTCAGATGCAATGGACTTCATGTTTGCCTGTTTCAAGCGTGTCCAGACAGCTGAGTTCTGATTTCAGGTCTTTCTTGTTCTGCCTCTTCTCTTCTTTCCGTCTACAGAGCCCTGTAGTATTGTTTTTGAGAGGCCAGTAGATCTTATTACACATGCATAGCATTACATTTTCTGTCTTTTCGGGTATTTACTTACTTTAGACATAAAAATCTATACACCTCTTGGCATTTTCAACTTTTACAGTGCACTTGTTAAAAAGTATCATCATGTTAACGTCATAAGGTTATAAATTTGAAATACAGTATCTAAATTTCAGTTAATGGATTAAACATTCACTAACTCCCCATGTAAGTTGTGGGACCTCATTGTGGGGGCAACAAGAATAGACCCACTGCCTAATCAAAAGCATGTGATAAGAGTTGGTTAATCAGGAGCTTCCTTCAAAGTCAGAGTGCATCTGCTTGGGAGGCCAAAAACCAGCAGCCTGGATGCAAATGAGTCAGATCTGTAAAACAGGTTTGAGTGCAACACTCAGGTTCTAACACAGGACTGGAGTCCAGAAGTGGACAAACAGCCAGAACTTTCCGCTTTAGTTTACAGCTGATGAATGTCAAGAAGTTGTTTAGTAACAAAAATCAGTAGTATTTGTGTGTGTATGGAGACAGTAGACACTATCACATTTCTGCACAAACAACGCTGGTTTTTACATACAAGATTTTCATGGTTCAGGCCAAGAAGAACTCCGATATCTGCCATGAACACCTTCTTGTCAAGCTGTATTTAAAATAGAACATATTCAGTCTTATATCAAAATATGGTTCTATTTAGGTTTCTCGACCTATCTACACAGGCTGGTCTAGGTTAGAGGGATGTCACGTTGTACTGTGAAAGTGAGAACAAGTCAGTGGGACCTAGGTTCAGGCTGTGGGTAGGGGGGTTTGGGTTAGGGCCAGTTCTAAATGTTTTGGGGTCTTTACAAGCTGTGCTGTTGAGTGGTACAGAATATATAAAATTGGCGCTGGTGTAACTGGAAGCAAGACAACGTGACACCCTTCCAACGTAGACAAGTAGGCACAAAAATGAATGAAGGTCAACCAGTGTGTAGATGGGCTAGGAAAATTAAAGTAACGGACTCTTCTCATGCCACTGTGCATATGGTGCAAGACAAATTTTAGTATAGACAAATTGGTATTTGATGGATCGCATCAGCTTCCTTGACTACTTCCCATGATATTTTCTAATACCCATTTTAGGCTTGGTTGATCTGGCAGCATGTGTCATAAAAATCTGCCCAAGCGTAGATTTAAACCAAGGAGCAACAGACCAGTAAGCAAGAGTCTACCCACCGGGCTACCACAGCTACAATATCCCTGAATGTTTTGATTAAATTATGAAACAAATAAACAAATGTTAAGGATTCTTTTCCATGCTTTCAGGCGTGTTGGGCATATAGGGCTAGACCTATATTTTATAGACTAATTGGCACTCAGTGGGTGATGAGGTCAACATCACATCAGCTGCCTTTATTTCCCAAGACCTTGCCTGGTAACCATTTAAGGCTGGGTCGACCTGGGAGCTAAGGTCATTCTAGAAAAAAGTCTGGCCCTTGCAGGACCTGAAGGTTATATTATGTAACTAAGTATAATAAGCAACTAAAACAGTTACTGATAAATTAAGCTAAGACTTTGTTACCATAAAATCCAAAGGACTGAAAATCCAGTGGATGTTTAAAACAATTAATGCAAACTTGGAACTAATAATACTAACATATCCCTGTTAGAACCACATTTTTGTTCATGTTAACCGAGTGTTTTTCTTAAGCAAGTTCATGTTAACAAGATTTTACTGTACAAACTTTCATTAACCGGTACCAGCACAAAAGAGGACTGCCAAACAAAAATGCCATTCCTGCTGTTTTTTACTCTTTTGCTCTGTAGGTGGTAGGATCTTTAAATCTTAGGATTTAAGGATTCATGGCTAGTGCTGTTGCCACAAGCTGTGCAGGTTAGGATTTTATTTTGTTTCCCTGACAGAAAATATCCTGGGTAAGGCTAAGGATATTTTAGTCTTAAAATATCCTTAACCTTACCCGGGATTTGAACCCTGGTCTCCCGTATGAAAGCCCTGTGTTTTTATTCATTCGGCCAGCCATTCTTCACAGAATGGAACTGAAAGGTAAAGAACACACACAGGAAGTTTATGGGGTGACACAAGCAAATCTCAGTGAATCAATACATGAGATCCAAAATTTTGCTGAAAAGAACACACGATGAGAAAACCCAGTAACTTATATAACTAGAAAGCCCTTCCTCTAGAACTCACATAGTAAATCAAATATTGGGACCCAACCAAAAAAAAAAAACAAGAAGAGAATTATAGACAGAATAAGACTTTGTGTGAGATAATAGAAATAGCCTGCATTAGACAGCAAAGCAGTAGGGCTGGTTGACTTTTATTAGAAGACAGGTTAGATCCTTGGAAGGGATGGAGATTTTTTTTTTTTTGGTAACATGCAACAACAAAAAATCGGAACTGGCACAGTTTAAGGCAACTGTACCAGCTATGTGGCCATGAGATGCTTAGGCTCATGCTCCCCAGATTATCTGGCATTGCTATGTATGTGTCTTATAGGTAAATATCATTGCTTTTTTGTGTGTTTGTGATACGAGACAGTATGAAGTACTAACACCTTTTTCAGGCATAATTTTTTTCAGCGCCACTGTAATATATATTTTGTGGTGAGTGTTGACACATTTATTAGACACTTTGGGGTGAGTACCGGCACCTTTTGTTGTAGAAAAAAGCCCTGATAATTACAGTTCTTCTAAAGAATGACGACTAGTCTTAAAAATATGTGGCAAGCATCATACACACATAGGACTTATTGCTTTGAAAGAGTCCTTTACTTAAATTTTTTTCAAAAAAGAACCTGTTTTTTTTTTAAATGACAGTGGTGCATCGGGCATATGATACTAGACATACTTTTAATAGACCATTCAATCCTCTGTGACTGATGTGATCAGCATCACCCTGACTGCTTTTACTTTCCAAGATATTACCTGGTACTCATTTTAGGCTGTTTCAACCTGGGGGGGGTTAAGGTCAGTTTTGACAAAAATCCACCTCAATGCGGATTTGAACCTGTGACCTTTGAGCCGGCAGCCAAGCATTTAGCCATTACACTACCACTGCTCTCTTCTATCAAAGGTTAAGTTTGCTGCGCATCCTTAATAGGACGTTGCAGAACCAACGCCAAATTTTTTTTTGCTGTTGTGGTTTTTTCTAGGCAAATTTTACGTTCAGTAATTTACCATTGCTTTCAAACGGTCAGCTCTCGGTACTACTGTCAAAACCAGCACAAGACAAATCGTCCGCAGCTGGAAATGAACATGGCACCCTGGCATTACGTAGTTACTATAATATTACCACAAAAATGGGAAGTAACTATTAATAAAAGTGGGCTTACATTTTTTCTAATAATTTTAACTGCAAATGGGAGATGAAGACCCCTTCTTTCACAGGCGTAAACAATAGATGATCTTCCTCTGTACAGAATTTAGAAACATATTAATATGAGTATATGCAAATAGGTATTATAGTACAGACATCCTATTCAGACTAGTGAGGTAATGGTGTTGAGTTAAGCTGTGCTGATTTAAAAACCAACATCACAACACTTGGGACATTCCATTAAGTGCTTCCCCTCATCTTCAGCAGCCAGTGCAGAGTTCCAATACAAATGGTGCCAGTTGAAGTCTGATTATATGTCCATTTTGCCTTTCCTCTGAGCATCGAGTATCGGTCAGATCCCCTCTTCACTCCCTGCTGCACCACTCTCATCTAGCTCTGATTAGCAATTTGCTGTTCTTATTTGCACAGATGGTTCTACAAAGCCTTAACCATGTCTGCCTTATCATAGATCAATATTCCACCAAGTTGTGCAGAGCCAGCTAATATGTCTGTTCATTTCCCAACACACTGGCATACAACGAGAAAAGATGCAGACAATGCTCTTCACTAAAGCATAGAAGTACTTAGTGTAGTTTGGGTACCTCAATAAAAACATCCCTGGAGGTTGAAAGAGGTATCTGAGATCTGCCCTGCTGGACTGCCATTCAAAATGTGACTTTTGAAATTGTAGGGACGGTCAATTCTTCAGTTGGCAGCCCAAAAAGAAAAAGAGACAGACCGTAGAAATGTCCTGACACTAATGAGGGTTGAAACTCGGGCTGGTATTCTAGTAAGACTTGGTACTAACCTTCAAACTACCCTGTGCACTAAAATAGAAAGTGATTTTATTGATAAAGACTATTTGCAATGTTCAGTTGTATCTACAAGATCCGACAATTAAGTAACAAGACTAATTTTTAAAAAAAAATTTAAACAGTTGAAGATATAACTTGTATCTGATTCAAAGTAAGCCCCTTGTGCATTGATACAGCATGTGGAACGATTTAACAAACACTGGATCGACCTCTGTAGTTCTTCTGTTTTAATGGCCAATAAAGTTGATATTACAGCTTTTTGGATGTCATCAATATCATTAAAGAAGCGTCCTTTAAATCGTAACTTTAATTTTGGAAACAGAAAATAATCACAGGAAGAGAAATCTGGGGAATAAGGTGGAAGGCTGAGAACACACACTTGTTTTTGAGCCAAAACTTCTTGTTTTGATGATGTCTCTTGGGTACTCAACCCCAGATGTTTTTGGTCATCACACAACGAATATGGTAAAAACCAAAAAGCAACTTTTTTCTTGCTAAAATCTTGCACTAAAATGTTATGAACGGTCTCTCTATTAACACCAGATTAATCTGCCATTATCCTCACAGTAAAACAATGATCTTCTTGTATTCATTCTCTGACTTTTGCAATGAGTCCATCATTATGTACATAAATTTGGCATCCAGGTCTAGGCGCATTAGTAATCATTTGAATCATGAATATCACCTGAAAATTTTTGCATGAGATAAACAATTACCCCCATAAACTTGTTGCATCAGCTCAACTGTTTCAACAGCTCTTTTTCTGAGTTTTATAAAGAATTCAATTTTAGCTTTTTGCTCCATGCTGATTGCATAACAATGCACCTCTGACTAGGTCAACATAATGGCGGCTTGTTTGTTGTTTGCTTATTGAGTGGCGATGAAAAGTTGCCAGATCATAGATGAATGTTGCCTTTTTGGATTCCATGCTTTGCTTCAAAGATGGCATTTTTGTCTTGGCCATAATAAAATCAGTCTCATTACTTAATTGTCGGACTTTGTGGGTGAATAAAACCAGAAGAGATCAAGTGAGAAATGACACGAACTGTTGGAAAAACACCCATCGTCACATTTTTTTAGAAACAAGTGCAAGAATTTAAATACTTTGGAAGCATCTTTACACACAAGGGTAAAATAGACAAGAGAGGTAGAAACGAGAAGCCAATAATGTCACATGCTAACTTGCTTCAGTTCTAAACCACTAAGCTATCCCAATAGAGACAAAAAGACAAATTATAAATACAATATTTATACCAACTTTAGAGATGAGATGTTTGAAAATGGCAGTGAAACAAATCTGAATAGATCAAGTGAGAAATGACATGATCGGAAGAACTGTTGGAGCAACACCCATCGTCAAATTTTTTTGAGAAATAAAGAATGAAATGTTTTGGCCATCTAATGAGTAGCCATCTAATGAGAATGAAACCAACGATGCCAGCAGCAACAGCGTACAACTGAAAATAAAACATCAAGAGGCAGGGGGAGACCGAGAAGAAACGGACTGAAGGAGTCAAAGACACTGAGACTGTATAACATCACGGCAATGCAAGTGAATGAGCGCGCCCTAACTTGACTGTCTATCATCTGATGAACTGCGATGCCTAGTGGCATAAGCAGATTTTGACAAAAGCAAGAAGATTCCTCGATCCTTTGTGAATACACTGCCTAGGTATTCATTATGATATGCTCTCCTTAGTCATCCTTAGCTTATGTTTTCCTTAGTCATCCTTGGATTATTTTAATGTCTCTCCTTCAACAGTGATGATGGTTTTCTATTTACTGCCATCATTCGTGGGGGGTTTTCAGTATTTATTTTCATATTATTATTATATGGCTATCCTCCGAACTTCGGGCACTAAAGATGGCGGCCGCAAAATATCCTTTCGAGCCACAGTCACGTGTCAATTGCACACTCCTGGCGACTTCATTTGCGGTTCTCCGGGGGTTTTCCCGGTGACTACCGCCACGACTCCCGCACGCCACTCACGCGGCGTGGATTGGGGCTAAACTAGATGGCTAGTACCCACAAGCAGCAGCTTCCGCATCTCCTGAAGCTTTGCTTGTGAGTCGTAGCCATCTAGTTTAGCCCCCATCCACGCCGCATGAGCGGCATGGGTGACTCGGGGCGGTGGCAGTAGTCGCCGGAGAACCGCAAGTTAAGTCACGTGACTGTGGCTCGAATGGATATTTTGCGGCCGCCATCTTTAGTGCCCGAAGTTTGGAGGATATCATTATAATTAATTATTTGTTGCGACAGGTGTTAATGCAATGTTTGAATAATATTATATAATTAATTACCTTCCGATTTCATCCCCTAGTGCATATTTGCTATCAAAACTTTCATCTTTGGTGCTTTGTTGAATCCAGTAGTTTCGTTTTTTGGCTATCGAACCTACAGGCATGTTAGAAAGAAATTAACTTAAAGGTTAGAGAGAAGTTGTCTGTGTCCATTATTTGTAAACGTCGCCATGTGACGTCAAAGGTTAAAGGTTGACCGGTGGGCAGTGAGACTAATCAGGTCCATCGAATATTAAATATAATGATTTCCAGAAAAATTGGACTAAAAAGCTGACTAAAAAGATTCTCGTTTGTGTATTTCACTTGTGTTTGAAAAAGGCTGCCTGGCCGAAACGTTACGTTGTGTTGTTTTGTGCACGTTTTCCTCTTTCCCACTTTGTTGAGCTTTTAAGTCAAATTTTTCTGGAATTCATTGTATTAGCTTGACTGCAGTCACCCCCATAGTTTCACCATTTTCGAATATTAAATATGTTCGTCATTGTGCTGTGCTCATCGTCTTCTGCTTCTTCTTCTTCTTCGCGTTCACTAACTGTAAACTCCGGGGAAAAGTTATGGTTGTTTCCTATCTCCAGACTTAAGTCTTGTTCCAGAACCTGAGTGTTGCGTACATATCTGGTAGTCTTTGTCTCAGCTTCATAACAAACGGGTCACCCCATTGTTGCTTTACTCCTGTGCCAACGAAAAAACACACATGTTTATCACAATCCCTTGTGGACTGTGCGTGCACATCTATTTTATACAGATCTGACTTTTTTGTATGCAGTTGCTGGTTCCTTGCCTCTCAGGCAGATGCACTCTGACCTCAAAAGAAGAAGCCCCCCCCCCCCCCCATTTCCCCTTCCCCCATTAATCGACTCTTACAACATGCTTGTTGGGGAGGCAATAAACCTATTCTTGCCCCCCCCCCCCTCAACTATGGGACCCGAGACCCACACAGGGATGCTGTGCTTATAAATAGTAATTACCTTACCGTCTCACTTAAACACGGTGTATGTTTTTTCGACGGATCAACATCATGGCACACGGGTATAACATATAAGTGCTCCGTTTTACTTTTAACTCAAGCCTGTCTTGAGATTCTCAGCGCACCGGTGAGGATTCTGAAATATTGGGGGTAGACGTTTAACTCCAAATGTTGACCGGGCAGCGCCGTTACTGTTAATACTGTTTGAATAATCTTTTTCGATTTCTAACTGCCAACAGATTTTTCACCTGCACATGGAGAATTTTTCATTCTCTTTAGTGTGATTTCCTTTCCTTCTTATTTTGTTGAAAACTATACAAAAGAAAGAAAAAAACCATCACATAAAAGCCACGAATTAACGTTTATTTTCACTTGTATGTGTATTTATTATGTCCCTTTATTTAGTGTTATTTACATGTTATGATGGTGACAATTTAAAACATAATTTCCTTTCATATATAAAATTGTAAAACATTTATAAAAAGCGAGTATTATTATATGATAACAGATAATAACGATTTTATAGCAAAATCTGTATATTCTTGCTTACTTTATTTAATAATCAGGAATATTCAACTCGTTAAACCGCTGCGTTTAGCCATAGTCGTTCAGGTGGGACCAAAGTAGCTTCAAAGTAACATTAGCTTTGCGCAGTGGCGGTACCATAGCCAATGAGGTTTTACCGAGGCGTGGTTATTGCTAGTTGAAAACTATTCCCAATACCCCGCACGGTCGACCTTCACCGGTCGGCTAGTGCAATTTTTAACGGCTTCTACGGGGGCTTCATAAAAATAGAAAGAAATTCGGATGTTCTGCATTTTAAAGCAATATAACAGTTGTAAATTTGAGCAAAAAAGACACAATCAACGGATTGCCTGAGATATTTCGCTGTATTTCGTCAGGTGCATCATACTACAGTAACAATTACATAAATAAGCAAATACCTCATTTATTAATACCTATTCAAAGACATCAGTCGTCACAGTTTAAACTGGGCAAGACGGACATATAAAACAAGACTGTGACCGGTACCATCAGTACTGGAACTCAGCGCTTGCTGCTGAAGGTGAGGACGGAAAACGCATGGGAATGCCACGAGTGCCGTGATGTCAGTTCTTGACTCAACTGATAACAGGTTGCCGAACCAAGGTGCGATCGACTACATTGTGTGTTGTGATGTGCGACGGCGCTCTCCATCCATCTTCTAGGTCTCCTTCTGCTCCTTTAAATTTTTATGTTGCCGCCAACGGTTAGTTTATTCTGACTAAATGGCCGATCCATTCCAGAAGACTTTGGTTTTTTTTTTTTTTTCAAGGTCGTTAGTTTTCTGTGACACTGGTAACTTAAATACATATTGCTTTATAATTTGCCTTTTAATCTCTGTTGAAACACCGGATATTGCAAGATTTGGGTAAACTGATTACATAATGTTGAATTCTTGTTTCTATCACTCTGTCTAGTCAACCACTGCATTTAAACATACTTACTATTTAAATTCGTGCACTTGTTTCAGACTATAGTCCATTATTTTTATGTTGATGATTTGATGTTCTTTGACTTGGGAAAGTTGGGGGGCGGGGGGGGGGGGATGATTATGTTGATTTATTTGCGGTGCTTGATGAGCTTTGATATTAGTTCTGGTAATCTGGTAATCCTAGTTTCAGCTTCATAGCAAACGGGTCACAACACAGATGCTCCGCTCCTGTGCCCACGAAAAGCAAACGCAGCTCACAGTGTCACGCCATGCACTCAACTCAGAAGCTTGGCGACGAAACTACTTTGATATTAGTTGGTCTATATGGCCCGTAGCTGTTCACTTTCACAGTGAAAAGAGCCAGGGAGGGCGTTAATTTCTCCCACACTATTGTAACACAATTGAACTGAGGAGGTGCCTGAGCCTCTAAGTTCGTGTCTATGTTACCTACAAGCTCTACGTAATTTGTTCATTTATTTTTGATAACTTTAAGTTCTTCACTCTGACTCATCAGTCTCTCAATTATGATGCTTCCCCTGTTCAAGCTGTTAAGCAATGCTGGAGTGACCTCTCTTGGAAACAGGCCTGTCTATGTCGAATTAGGGTACAGGCTGTTCTCCACTCCAAAGGATTTCCTGTATAGTGAACTGGTAACAGTGAGAAGGTATGCCAGAATTCCAAGGCTACGCTAACAACAACAACAATAACAAAAAGACTCATGCAAACGTGATCTGAAAGATACCAACATTGATAAAGACCAGCTGCATACAGGCTCCTATGGAGGCGGTCAGTGAAGGACGGACGGTCAGTTTGCAAGAGGCCAAGCTCAGAAGGTATTGAGCGGAGACGTCTGATAGAAAACCAGCCTCATCATAACAGAGTATCAATGCTTTCAAGTGCACTATGGTCTAGGGGGGAAGCTCCGACAGGCGGACAGTTGTAGCACTGCACTTCTGATCCAGCTGCCTGCTATGTTCTAAAAGCACTGGTGTTACCTTTCCCTTGGAGTAAACATTATGCACAGACAACAAAGGATCTCTACAACAGTGCCTAGACCTTGTGCTATGGAGAGCAGAACTGAAAAGAACCACAACTTTAAGGTTAAGCTTGCCTTATGTAATGTCAGGGTCATGTGTCTTCAGTTTTCCACTGAAATGGAAAACATTAGCAATGTGAGAAAAACGGGTATATTGGTACGGAAACTCAACTTGACACAGATACTGCTGGCTTACAGGAAATGCGAGAGGATGGGTCCTTTTTAGAGAAAATAATACCTTCTTTTGGAAAGGCAGAGACCAGGAAGAAATCCGGAAGTAAGGAGTGGGATTTGCAGTGAAGAATTCATTGTTGATATCAAGATCACTGGAGGAAATGACAGATTATTGTTGCTTTATGGCAGCGAAACTTGGCCAACTTATTCACACCACGAGAAACGGCTAAATAGACATCACATGTGATGCCCAAGTATACTTGGTATTAAGTGTCAAGACAAGATCACAAACACTGAGGTATTGGAAAAGTGCGAGCATTACAACGACGGACTTTCTACACCACAAGGACAACACACAAACGATAAACACGCGATGTCACAAAGTGTCACCATGTGGATGAGGATCACCGTGGAGAGGTCCCAGAAACCGCCATAAGCCATATTTTTGGCCGGGCGATATTGCGGCCCCTGGCAATAGCCAGAGTAGGGCTTTAAATAACGAAAAATTTTATCCTAAAAAGAACGGGAAGTAATCACTTTAGTTTCCTCATTGCTCAGTCTACGAAGACTCGGGAGGCTATGTCATACCTGGAGAATGGTGAATTACTGATGGGTAGAAGATGTCGAGGCCGACCTCTAGTATATAAAGATGTGGAACAAACAAACTTTATTTTCAAGGGGTTACAAATTGGGCACACGGGCCCGTTTGACATTTGGCCCTTCTAAGCACTAATTTTTCAGTCTGGACACGAATGATACAGGCATCTAGGTGGAGTCATGGGAACAAAGTTCCATGGGCCTTGTTTCCTGGAGGCGTGAAATCAGGAAGGGAATGAGAGTGAAGGAAGAAATTACTGCAGAAAAGATGAGAGCTGAGCGTCAGAGAAAAAACCCAAACGATGGCAACAATGGTCCTGAAATCCCATGCTTGCTATAACTATGGAAGACTTTTCTTAATTATGGCTGCTAGTCACAATTTACATCATGGGCTGTGAGTGCAAAGCCTCCTCATAGCGTGTAATAACACTATTGTCTAGAAGTATAGAAAGGTGCCAACAGTGTTGCAGAGACTGCCACCCTCGCAGTGGACTTCAGTCGTGGCAGGCGCTGCTCCTTACAAACCAGCAACACAATACCATTACCCCCAAGGACTGACGGTTACCTACAACTACTCTACATATGTTAGGTTACTATTTCCTTTAGCCTGTGTGTTCCAAAGAAAAGACTTTCTAGTTTATATATAAATAGGTTACCTCAG